TCGCTGGTCCTTGTTTCCCAATTTTGTTATTGTCCCACTCCCTCCCAAGCGCCCCCAAGTCCATCCCCCCTGCCCTGTGCACATGCCCCTTCCCAATGTGTCCTCAGCCCCAATGACCTCTGTCCACTCCCTCCCTCTGCCATCTCCTCCTTCCCCCACCCTCACCTCTGCCCATATCCTGCTGCTCCCCCCACCACTTCCTGTGGCTCCCACACCCTCCCACCCACCCAGGGCAGAACCTCCCATCTCTGAAGACCTCCTACGACCCCACCCCTGTCCTTCCTGGCACTTGGCCCTCAATACCCTGAGACCAATCCGATTGTCATGGGATGTTTGGACAGGGCTCTCCTGGGGGTCTGCGACTGGGAGTCCAGCACAGCGGCCCCTTTGAGGGGGACCTGGCTTATCTCCATAACCTGTCTGCTTTGTCTCTGGTAGAACCCCAAGTCGAGACCAATACCAAGAGTGAAGGTGAGTCCATCCCTCCCGTAGCAGGTAGGTACCTACCACAGTGCCTACCTGGGGTGCTCCAGATGGGTTGGGGGGATGCGGACCCTGATCACTGTCTCCTGCAGCCCAGACAGCCTCACAGCGGTCTTGGTCCATCTCTGGGAACATTCTGGTTCTGGTCCTTGTGTTGGTCTTGTTTGTTTTCTGCCACAAGAGCCCTTGGTGTCCGAGGCAGAAACAGGTATGAGGGGCTGCACTTCTGTACTTGGTTCTGGGCAGGGGAGGCAGGGGGCTAAGCTGGGGGCCACCCTGACACCCAGTCTGAGGACCCCAGTGTAGGTGCTGTCACCCTCGGCCATGAGAATCCAGGCCCACTGCACCCTAGAAGGGCAGACAAGGGGGGTCTGCAATTCCTAGTCCTGCCAGGAGCCTCAGGAATCCCCTTCAGAGACAAACGCAGCTTTTCAGAGCTGAGGGGTCCTCCTGGCAGGGGGACAGGGGACGGGCAGTGGTTCAACTCCCTCTGGGGCAGATTGGCAGGGTGGGTAGGGCTCCGAGTGTGCACTGGATGACTATAGCTTCTACCCGTGCCCAGCATGTGGGTGACCATACAGCAGTGTCTGGTGGCCTGTGTGGGCAGTGTGGGTATCCATGGGTGTGACTGTGTACATGTGTGAGCAGTGTGAGTATACATGGGTGTGACTGAGTGTGTACATGTGTGAGCAGTGTGAGTATACGTGGGTGTGACTGAGTGTGTACATGTGTGGGCAGTGTGGGTATGTGTAGGTGTGACTGAGGGTGTACATGTATGAGCAGTGTGGGTATGTGTAGGTGTGACTGAGTTGAGTACATATGTGAGCAGTGTGGGTATGCATGGGTGTGACTGAGTTGAGTACCTGTGTGAGCAGTGTGGGTATGTGTAGGTGTGACTGAGTTGAGTACATATGTGAGCAGTGTGGGTATGCATGGGTGTGACTGAGTTGAGTACCTGTATGAGCAGTGTGGGTGTGACTGTGTACATGTGTGAGCAATGTGGGTATGTGTGGGTGTGACTAAGTGTATACATGTGAGCAGTGGGTGTGACTGAGTGTGTACATGTGTGAGCAGTGTGGGTATGTGTGGGTGTGACTAAGTGTATACGTGTGAGCAGTGGGTGTGAC